TGGGGTTGTAATGCCGGTACCGTTCTCTGCACAGGCTGTCCAACACCACCTCCTGCTCCGCCTCATGCAGCCTGTCGGTGGTGGTGTTCACTCCGGTCTGACCCCAACCGGCCACGCTGCACTTGGAGCCTAGGCTGACGTGGTGATCAGCCTCCGGCAGGGGGACAAGCCCCACCCACTCGGTCAGCTCCGCGTTGTGCCACAGCTGCCATGGGGAGGAGAGAAAGAGAATGGACCTGGATCAGCACAGGTATCGGAGCAGGGGCAGCACCACCCGGCCAGGGCATGGATGTGAATCCAGGGAGTGAGTGTGGAGTCACTGGGGGTAGGATGATGGGACAGGGGTGCTACCTGCAGCAGTGTGAGGCCACTGGGGGTGGGGTGATGGGATGGGGGGGTACCCTAGCAGTGTGAGGTCACTGGGGGCAGGGCAATGTAATGGGGCGGTGCCTGCAGCAGTCTGAGGTCACTGAGGGCGGGGTTATGGGATGGGGCGGTACTTGCAGCAGTGTGAGGTCACTGGGGGCAGGGTGATGAGATGGGGGCGGTACCCTAGCAGTGTGAGGTCACTGGAGGCAGGGCAATGGGTTGGGGATGGTGCCTGCAGCAGTGTGAGGTCACTGGGGGCCGGCTGATGGGATGGGGGTGGTACCTTAGCAGAATGAGGTCACTGGTGGCATTACCTTTAGCAGCATGATGTCATTGTCAAAGTTCTCATTGTTGAAGTCGGAGTGCTGGACCCAGTGACCCGCCCGGATCCGTTGCCAGTTCTGTCTTGGCTTCATGAAGTCTTGGACTCCCAGGTAGACAAAGATGTTGCTGGAAAAGCCAAGGGGAGAATATGGAGGTGTTAGCGCCCTTTGTACAGTGGGGTCGGGCCATCACAGTCCCTCGAATAGGGACACCAACCCTGCACCTGGCCTGTGCAAATTTCTATCTATAGTTGTGCAACTGAGTAACACAGAGACCCTCTTATGCACCTATATGTGGATGGACTTCCTCCTTCTCCCCTCTGGTTGGCTAAAGAGACCCCAAAAGACTGTCCAACGGACTGTTCTCCTATGCAGGGTGACCCATCGTCCAGTTCTTCTCTCCACAATTCAAAAAGGATGTAGATAAATTGGGGAGGGGTCAGAGAAGAGACATGAGAAGGGTCAAAAGATTGGAAAGCCTGCCTTATACTGAGAAACTCAAGATCAATTGGTTTCTTATTCAGAGGGACTATAAAGGATTCTGTTTATTTTTCTTTCTCAATTATTGTTGATTGGTGTGAATTATTAACAGGGACTGTAACTAACCATTGGGAGAATTTAAAAGGTCATCATGGATTCTCCATCACTGACAATTTTTAAATGAGACTGGATTTTTTAAAGAACTGCTGTAGATCAAAAGGAATTATTTGGGGGACATTCTCTGGCCTGTCTTATACAGGAGATCACACAAGATGATCACAACGATCTTGGAATCTCTGAATCATTGAACTGCATATGGCAGAAGAAGGAAAATACCCATGGGAAGGTCTAAGGACCTTACCTAGGTGTAACTTTGAAATATTAAAAGAAATTTCTTAAAGCGGGGGAATCCCAGATGCCTAGGCTGGGCAGACACAGAAATAAGGTTGCTGGCGTGAATGAAACATACAAATAAGAAAAGGATCAAACAATATTTTATGCACCGTCGCCATCTACTGGGTGTGGATGGAAGTAGGAATAAGCCCAGATCTGCAGATGATCCTGGAGAGAGAGGTCATTATGTGGGATGAAAGAGCTTGTGGAGTGCATCAGAGAAGATGTTGAAGTCCAGAAGGGTTCCCGGACGCTTAGCCCAGCACCTATGCACAACCCCTTCCCTTGTGAGACTTCATGGCAGAGATTGAATCTCTTCATCTTTCTTTAATCTCTGTCTGGGTGTTCCCCTGCTCTCGGCCTAGAGAGACCTCAAGGAACCATAACTTGGATTTTAACTAAGCCAGGCTCTATGCCTGTTTCTCCATCCTTGGTCGAAGTCAATGGCCTACGACAACCTCCAACGATAACTTGAGGTGACTGCTTTTGATGCTTTAAACTAGTGCCCCCCCTCCAAACTAGAACACAAACGACAGCTGGTATATTCACCATCCTAGTTTGGTGGGTTTGGGCTTTAAAATCGAACAGGCACCCAGGGAATTTCATAATTTTCACATCCCATAAACATCTAGTCTTTGGGGCAACGTATTTCCAGCTCCGATCCCGCCCCAGGGTGGGGGACTGGCTGGCTTGGTGGATGGGGAATGGGACAGGGCCTTTCCCCGCTAGGGAATGCTGGGAACCGGCTGGCTCAGGGGTGGGGGATGGCACGTTTCTTACCCCAGGTTGCAGTTACAATGAGCCGCCGTCACCACCACGTCCTCCCAGATCAGGAACCCTCCGCAGCTTCCCGTTGACCCGATTTGCACGTAGGCCATGTAGGGTGTGGAGCCAAGCGGGGCTTCCTGGCCCCTGATAACCCAAGTCTGGAGTGTGGGACCAAGAGCCCAGTGCAACCTAGACCCTAATCCCTCAGCCCCACCCCCTCCTGGCCTGGATCAGCCCCTTGTCCCCCACCCCCCCTCCCCCAGCCCAGCCTCCCCCGGATCATAGAATCATAGAATATCAAGGTTGGAAGGGACCTCAGGAGGCCATCTAGTCCAACCCCCGCCTGCTCTCTACCCAAACATATATGCACTGTAATCCACATATTCCCATGTGGACCTGTGCATCCATCCGTCCATCCCTTATCCCATACACAGCCATCCATTCATGTGCCTGTTGAGCCACCCGCTGGCCATCTCCCCACTCAGAGAACTAGGCCAGAGATTCCCAGCACTCTCTGGCTCCATTGTCCTCTCTCCTGACACCTGCCTGAGCTTGATGGCTAATTCTCACCCCTGCTCCTGGTGTGGGCTGCGCTGCCCGTGGGCCCCAATCTCCCCGATCTCACCACTAGAACCAGGCAAAGTTTTCTAAGCAATTGGCAAATTTGCCAAAAAATGCAACTTTGGGGCGTCAAAAGAACCTGCGAATTCCTGTGGAATTCTGAGGATTTATTTTCGCTACCAAAAAAAAGGATTTTTTTTTTCTGGAAAAAGTTGGCAACTTTAGTTCTGGGCACTGGGAAACAAAACCTTTTTGTTTTGAAATGTTGTTTC